GACCTTGCAAAACAAAAGTAAACTTAAGATTTTCATCATTGAATCACATTTAAAGTTATAGGAAACACTGTTTAAGACATTAAAGAAAAAAAATATGCTAAAGTCCAGACCACAGTATTTACTAACTATTTCTATGTATAATCAATAATATTATTCAATTATTTGATAATTAGACACCCTTAGATTCATTGTTTAAACTATAAAAATAAATGTTGTAGAAAAGTGAAGAGGTACAAAACTAAGTTAGGTTGAGCTGACATAACATTCTGTGGAGACGTGGAGTTGCTAGTTGTTTTGTTCATAAGAGGTGAGATGAGTCTGATTAGAAAATAGTAATTGTTTTTTTTTAGAGTGTTTAGGACTACAGTGGGAGACAGAGGCTTATAAATCAGGGCATCAATAGTACCATCCAGAACTCCAAAAGTATGGTGATTAACACACTGTTCGCAGTATAGGGGTGCTAAGTCAAAGATAGAATATCAAAAACATTATGTAATCAAATAACAACTTAAAATAAAATTTAAATTATTATCACACATATCATGTAAAGTACTTTGAGACTTTTCCTTACAATTATACTTACTCGGTGATGATCCCAATTTTGAATTTTCAGTTGAAGTTGTCATACGTGAAAAGGCAATCAAAGTGTCAGGGAAATTGGGTGGTGTAGCAGGAGTATTACACGGTGTCATCTGAAAAAATAGTACAAATATTAACATGCTGTTTTAACTTTTCGATTGAATTAACTCACTTGTCCAAATCCAAACTGTGCTGAATTTTGATTGCAACTTGATACAGAAGAATCTTGGAAAAATATGCTCAATGCAGTCTGAAACAACGAAATATTCAAGGTATTTAATTGTCTTACAAGAATAATAACATTTATTACGCTTACATGATGGCGTTAAAATGGTTTTAAATTCATTGATATTTGTATATCCAATGTGCTTACACCTGCAAGAATGTAAGAATCTATGGTGCTTAAACCGTTTTATCGTTAACATGTAAACATAAACTAATCTAAACAATAACTAACTTAAATAGTATAATAGGTACTTATTAATCAATAGTACCTATGACTATTTTGGTATTTGTTACGATTGYTAAAATTATGAGCTCTTATTCTATAATGTTTACTTACATCTAATCAATAATATAGTACCTAGATAAAATGTTTGTATTTAAAGTTACAAGCTAGGTTTATCTGATTTGTATTTTTTGGTAATTAAGTATGTATCATAAATTGTATCTTAAAAATTGATATTCTAACCAAATTCTTTAAAGAATGCAAATGTTTTAGTAAGATAATTGTTAAACCTTATGTCAATAATATAACATTTTGAYGCCATTGAATAAACATAATGAAAACTTATATAGTTACACAATAAATAGGGTAAGTAGGTACAACTTTTTTTGTGCCTAATTCTGTAAATTCAGTCTGATATAGGTAAAATTATCATGAATCAATTGAATTATTCAACAACATCGGAGGACAAGGTTATAGAGTAGATACAACAATATCTGTTTGCTCAACTGAGCAAATTCTCGAATTGTGAATCATTCATGTGAGCCCAATCGACAGTATAATAATATAATTAATTGATGGTAGAAACAAACAATCATGAAAGAAACAAATGTCTATCGAGCATAAAAGAATCATTAAACCGCTAAATACACATAATTCGACGTCATCACATTTCATGAAAACATTAAGGATATACACAAAACAAATGTGATGTATTTTTCTAATCTAGCAAGGTTAGCAAATCAAAACAGTGTTGACATAAAAAGGTATCTACAAGCGTTATGAATTATTGTAAAAAGGAAGGATTCGTTAACATTAAAGGACAAGGTTACAGAGGAGAGATGACGATATTTGTTCATACATTGTGACAAATTCTCAACTATCGATYGAGCTGATACGGTGATTGATCAACCGTCGATACTGAAAATAATGGAAAAGTAACAGAGACGAGTAGAGAAAAGGATGTTAGATGGTCACTGAGCTCGTTTGAAGTTCAAGGTCACGGGGTACAACCACTACTATGGGACGGACGAAAAACGTCCCGGCGACGGGTCTAGCTACTACAACCCACTTWGCACCCATCACGGTATGCCTATTGCCTATACCTAGGTGAGTTAGGCTTAAGTTTGTCGAAGAACGACGTAAAAACATTGTTTTACGTCGATCGACGATGTCTGTCGTCGTCGTCGACGGCGACGCCGATGAACAATGCAAACGGGACGGACGACGTCGCACGAACGGGTGGCAAAAGCCGCCGACGGATATATAATTTAAAGCGAGCCGTTTACCTCGAACTGCCAGTGGGCGGCCTGCAGCAACTGCTTTGCCTGATCTCTGGCGCATCCGGCGGCCAGCACGAATTGGTTGATCATCACCTGTTCACGCAACGAATCCATTTTCGTTCGACGCAAGTGTCTCCGGAAAACCTTTCGGCGCGCTTCCGGCAACGACGGTATACGGTGCAGCGTATTTCGCGCAATTGGCGCACGGTTTATTCGACTGGCGCGCGCGCGCGCGCACTGCTCAGCGTCCGGGAAACGAATGTAAAATGCCTGCGAACGGTACGCGCGCGGCTCAACCCGACAACATCGTTGTCGATATTCTGTTAGAAACACTAATAATTAATGCCCCGAACCGGAGGGATTATTTCCCGAAGAGAGAACACGTCTATTTTCTGTTTTTCACTCGGCTTTATCAGCAGCGCCTCGACAACAACAACAACAACAACAATAATAATAATAGTACCAATGTTATGTGCGCGACGAGTTAACGCATATGGACCGGACGGTGACGCGCAGAACACTCAGCCGACAAGCACACGCACGCACGGTTGTGGTGACGGTGTGAGAGGAGGAGGAAGAAAAAAAAATAATAACAACAACAATAATAAAAACAGTCAACAGTGGCGCTGCCGCTGCGTACGGTCGTCACACACGGTACACACACTCACGCACGCGCACACCAACACTGCGTACTCACGTACGCAAAGGCACACACACATTGGTCGCCCGCGCCCGATATTCCCTGCCGTCGCCGACCTTCCACGTACTAGAGAACACACCCGTCCGCCGGCCCATCGCGCGATATTATTATTATCCGCCGCACACGCGCGCCGCTGTACACGACCTATCGTAAGTATGTACCGGCGCGTACACGACCCCGCGCGCGCACCGATCGTGTCTTGTCGTGTCGTGTCACGCCGTGTGTCCGAACAACCGCGGCTATATACCATGTTCTGTCGGTCAGATCCGTAGCAGCTGATCTCGATCCTCGATCGCTCAGAATGTCAGATCGAATGCCGCCCCGTGTGGCCGTGTGTGTGCCTTACGTAAACGGTAAACACGAACCGCGGCGGCACGTAATGTCGTTCAAAAATATTAAAATATTGATAATAATAATATCATTATCACCATTGTTGACTTGTTGTAGCCGGACTCGTGTGTAGAGTCACCCACCGCCGGTGTCGATATGAATAATAATTAATAATAGTTGGACTGTCGTCCGACCGGGAGTTATTAGGTTCAGCCTGTGATCTGGAATTATATTATAATATTTAAACGGCGGAATTCCGTTCAATAAATGTACGCCTAATTGAGCCCAATTGTTCAGCAATTGAGCCTCTAACTGTATCATTTTCCCACACGTATAGTTGCAGTGTACCGAATTTTTAACTTTTTCAGTCTGTAAAATGSAATGGATAATATAATTKTTTTGTTTTTAATGTTCTACCCCCTGTGAGGGAAAGTCGCCCTTGGAAAATGAACAAATTTATAATACTATTGATTTGTTATACTCGTTGATCATAAGCGTGCGTAGGTATTCTTGGCAGGGGAGGCAATACCTTAGCTAAGGAGGTCCAGACTCCCATCCCCCCCACCCGATTTTCCCCAATTGGTAGGTATAATATTATATTTTGGTGTAGAGGAAAATCTCGCAGGGGAGGCAGCCGCCTCCCCTGCCTCCCCCGTGCGCACGCTTATGTCGTTGATTATAAATTATAATTATTAATTGATAATTCTCTCTCTTTCTCTAGCTTATGCGCCACAGACAAAACGCATTCACCAAAAAATATTTGTTTTATGTTTTAGAATAGTCTTACTATATAGTCTTGGTATGTCAGCCGGAACAATAATAGTCGTAAAGAATAATATTTTTCGATAGTTTGATAAATCAATTTTTCTAGAATATATGATYTCAAAATAACTTTTTATAATGTAGGTACATTAATAAAATTCTCACATTTTTTTTTTAAATTTATCTTACAACAATTTACTATGAAGTCAAATAATAATAAAATTTTAATTATGCCAAACCATCAAAAATATTGTTCTCCGTATTACAATTTTCGTTATATTGTGCGATTTTACTCCAAGATTTTTCAAAAAACATAAAACAAAAAAATACAAATTTTAAGTATGTGAATGCTGTTTCTTCTGTGTCGAAATTCTCTTTAAGTGTTAAAGTATTATCTCCTGGTTCTAACACACAAGAGATCATTCATCTCTATCATGCATATTATACGAAGAAAAAAAATACAAATTCTCACTCTTGCTCTTATCGTATCTCMTTAAAACTATTCATTCTAATCAGCTTTTATGGTAGTCACTAATCACTAATTATTACAGTAATCGACAACAGTTTAAATGTATATTATACAGATACTGTTGAATGTTGATATATATATATACAAAGATTTAAATACATAACATAAATTGTAATTTATGATATTATTGTAATTATTTCTGTCATGTYGTGTATTTTATTTGTTGAGCAATAAATTATAATTATTGTTTCAATACATTGATACACGGTGTTAATCAGCAGTAGTTCTCAACCGGCGTGTTGCTAAATTATTGAAAATAAGAGCACTCAATGTGTCAACCATATAACTTATATAGTGTGTCGGCCTTTGRGTGCCTGMAATGTTGATAAAACAGCCTTGGTCATTGGTTGCTGCAATCAAAAAAGTTTGAGAAAATGAGAAACCCCGAGGTATTGAATAATAATAAATTATTATCAAAAAAACAAATATAATAGACGTCAAGTACAATTTAATACTGATGTATTACTGATGTATTAAATACTATGGTATTTTTATTTCACATTATAATGTTTTGAAACTTAAAAATAAAACTTATTCACCATCACCTAGTCATTATCAGTGACCACTACTTTTATCAGCTACCTAWCCAATTTATTTTATATTATATAACATTTTTTCTAAGAATATAAGCGTTACACATTTGAAATTTATCACAACGGCTTGACGGGTTTTCTCTCTGAAAGTATCACAATTTGCCATTAAAATATAATGATATCTATGTTATCAGACGTTCATRCGTATTTATTATTATTTATTTTTTATCCAACATAGGTACATAAGTGATTCAAAATCTCTGCATTCGAATAAATTATTATTATGTTTGTATATTATAGTTACACACTTACACGGGAGTAGGGAAAATATTTATATTTATATTATATTTATTTTTAATTACTCGTAGGAATATGTTTTACCCATAGAGTGATCCATTTTACACGAGTCAAGAATGTCTTATGATGTCTACGCTAAATTGATCACTCCGTATTACATAGAGACAAAATGTAATTATAAAATAAACGTTGGAAAAATAAATGATACGATTGTCGGTGATTATTTTACATTTCGCAAGGAAGATGTTTCAGTCACATTTTCTAGCAGTGCTTTTATGCATATTAATGATTATTATATTAATTATGATAACAATATATAGCGTGAACTGAAGTTTTCGGAATCGGAAACTTACGATATTTACGACATTTATCAGAATTATCTAATCCAGAGATAAAAGAAATAATAATTTATTCACAAGAAATATACTATAATAACATATACGCAGGTACCTCAAAAAGATATCTGAGAGAACTAAAAAGTAATTTCAATAAAATGCAAGTTTATACAGCTATTCCAATGACGAATAAGGAAATATTGAAAATGTATCAAATAAAAAAATAAATGATAGCCGTAAGGTTAATAAAATAAAGAAAATATAAAAGAACTGATGGTGCAATATAAAAATATATTTCTATATCAAATTCTATTAGACATATATTGGTATTGTTCGAGTAGTGAAGGGAAGTGTAGTGCGGAGACAATGCCAGCATAAAATATAAATATATAATATAAAATTGAAGAAATGTAATAAAAGTTAAAATGAAAACGGAAAACAGTTTTACAAAAACAATAAGCAATATTAGGTATTGGGTATCTATTGGCTATTATTAATTAATTACATGAACACCATGACGTAAGAACAAAATACGCGATGGCTCTTAGTTATTTGAGTCATTTCTAATGCTGTCGATATTTTTATTTATCTATACATTTTGTTWAAAAAAAAAATAAGGACCGATTGTCAATTAACTCTGTAGAGGTACAGAATATAATACAAAAGAGGTATTTTTAAAGCAATACTATAACATTATATAAAACAATTTAATTTTACTGGTAAACCTTAAAAATATAAGTTAATATAAAGTTTGTTTAAGATAAGTGCTATTATATATAGCCTACATCGTTGAAAAATTATATAACATGTAAACAATTAATAATTAAGGTGTATAAACAATGTCATATACTTAGAGTTAAGTAGGTTCTATAGTTGATAGTTATACTCAGAGATGATCAACACTAAGGCTTCGGCTTTAAGCTGTTATTTTACAGAATGGTCGAGACTTAAAAAAATGTATTTTAGATTCTGAGCGGAGCGAGGAATGTATTGGTTTTACAATGATGTTTATTTTTTATTTTTTATTCTGTAAACACTTTTTCTC